GGGCGGGGGCTGGGCTGCAAAAATAGCTCAGGCCACCATCTGTAGTCGGGCCTCACCTGTTGCGTGGCGTCCTCAGACGCTGCGCATGCGCTGTCTCTGCCCCACAGTGCCCAGTAGATGGCTGTGGGGAATTTAAAGTGAGGGGCTGTGGCGCTCTGTCACAAATCCCTCTCTTCCTCCAGCAGCTGCAGGTTGGCCGGACATTAGGGTGTGCCTGGGCACACCCGGCACACCCCTAGCGCATGCTTATGGAAACGCTCCTCCTGCAGATGTAACTCCCCTGCTATGCTGACGTAATAAAACCACATTGTCAGCAGCATGGAGTTTTGTTGGGTTTTTTGTTTTGTTTTTTTACAGTAAGGGTTTTTGGGTTTTTTTGGGTGGGGTTTGTTTGGGATTTTTCGGTATTTAGAGCACCACCGTATCTGTGTAGACACCTCACTTCATTATATCACCCCAAATGGCCTCCAGAAGAGGGGTCTCAATGCCCATCACAATCAGTTTGAACTCTGTTGCCCTGAACGTAAGACTGGTGAAGTTTTGAAATTCTTCTTCCTGTTTGCTCAGTATGTACATTTCACATAGTATCTTCCCCGTTGATCATGCCAGCTTCCTTCAGCAGACACTTTCCTGTGTGAAGTGCACCAGAGCTGCTGGATCTGTGGAGTAAATGGAGAGAAGGCTGTGCAGATGCAGCTGTACAACAGCTGTAGGAATTTTATACCTTCAGATTGCTACCCAGAGGCATGAGAGGGATAAGTAGCAGTGTTGTGCTAAAAATAAAGGAGCTAAGGCAGGTGTACTGGAAGGCAATGGAGGCCAGCTGTCACTATGGAGCAGCATGCTGCTTCTATAAGGAGCTGCATGCCATCCTTGGTGGTGACCTTACCTCCATCATCAAGAGTCCTATGAAATACTTCAGGGATACTGGAGGCAGCAGCCAGAAGACTCAACACAAACAAGGAAGTAGAGCTAAGAGTTGATATGAAGCACACTAAGGGTTGTTTGGAATTGCAACAAGTCAGGACCTCTTTTCCATCCTGGAGGGGCCTATCCAATCCCAGCATTCCAAATCAGCCGTGCACAATGCAGGAGAGGAGAGCCCCAGTAAGTGCTCATTTTGCCTTGCTACTGCATACTGAGAGGAGATTGAGCTCTGTAGGTGTTCTACAATCCTCCATCAAAGGCTCTTTAGGAGAGCTGCCTTGGGAGAACTTTTCTGAGTCACTTGGCATTTATTTCTGGAGTTACACACAGCTTAAGAGGGCCCTCACTGCTAAACTGTTCCTCTTTCTCATGCTCCCTATTTGATCAAAAGTTTGTGTTTTATCCTATTAACAACTTGAGTCTTTAAATACTAATTTCATTTCAGTTTTAATACAGCCTCTCTCTGAGTTACGGACCAAACACTTGGCCGTAACTTGAGCTGTTCGTAACTCGGACCCCACTGAGTTACACACGACCGCGCTGTTCATAAGCGTGGGTCGCATTCGTAACTTGGGGACTGCCTTTATGACCGTTCCATGGGAGATTTGGTCACAAGTGTGAATGGTCATAACTCGACTGTTCGCAACTCGGGGAGCGGCTGTATACATCACTCAGTGCTAACACACACAATGGGTGGGAATATTTGCCCCTTGCAGTTAACACTCATGAAGAAAACACTACCTGGGGTAATTCAAGGTGGTAAAGCTAGCATTGCTTGGACACATGCATCATATAAAGACACATTACTAGGAACCATCATCAAAATACACCTTCAACAGCTTCCTGTTGTGCACCTCTAATTGACCTTTTACCTGGCCACTCAAAATCAGCAGCCAACCTATCAGCTGCAGCGGTCCACACCTGGTGAAACTGCTCCCTCTTTGATTTGCAAATCTTAGGTAGAATACCGCAGGCCACAAAGACCATCAGAATATTTTCCTCGCTGAAGTCTAACCAGTCAAAAAGGCAGCCCTAGGGACCATTTAATGAGCCAAAGGCACATATAACTATCATTTGGCACCTGCTAAATCTGTTGTTGAAGCACTCTTTGCAGCTGCTCAGGAGGCTAGTGTAAGGCTTCATGAGTCACAGGAATTATGAGCATTTCAACATCCCACACTGGAATCTTCTGTTCTGAAAAGCAAGTCCCAGCATACAGCTTTCTATAAATTCAGTGTTCTGAAAGATGTGCAATACGCACCTTTCCTAAGCACCCCACATTCATGCCAGTGAAACAGCTCCAGTGACCCACCATTGTCTTTAAGACCCTGGAGAAGTAGCTCTTTTGGTTGATGCACACCATCCCAAGACAGGCAGGGGCCAAAATTGAGAGATGATTTCCATTTATCTTACCCCACTTAGGAAATCCCATTGCTTCAAAGTAATCAATTCTTTCCTACACATTACAAGAAGTCATAGTGGCCCTGCACACTTGCACCACTGCAACCCCCACAGTGGACTTCTGAACTCCAAACAGATTAACAACTAACAAGCAGCATTCTGGAGTTGCCAGCTTCCACACAGTGATTGTCACTCACTCTTCCACATTGAAAAAAAGGTTCTTATTCTGGTGTCCTTGAGCCACAGAGCTGAGGCAACCTCTGAACACTGTTCCAAGAAGGTGGATTTAATGCATCCAAAAGTTCTACAGTCCATGCTCATTATTCAACACACACTTCACAATGTGATTCCACCACTCACTGTGTGTTTCCCCAAACCCAGTACCAACAATCCACCATGGCAAACTGTTATGTGAATGGTAGCATCAATCTTGAATTATCTGTCTCCACGGCAAACAGCAGGGCAGGCATCTCCTGATCTACATGCACTTCCACAGCTCATGAAATACTACAGAACCAGCCATGTTGTGTTCATAAAGCTCCCCAACAGAAAGGTCAGCAGCTCAGGATCCATGCTGTCTAGGGTGACCATATTTCCCTATACCAAATATGGGACACTAAAGAGGGGGGGCTTGCCAGTACTCAGGGCTGGACGGTGCTGCCAGTGCTCGGGGCTTCAGCCTGCAGCAGGCAGGGGGTGAGGGGAGTTGCCAGCAATCAGGGCTTAAGCCCCACAGTGGGGGTAAGGAGGAGCACTGGCGCTTGGGGGGTCCAGCAAGTGAAGCTCTGAGTCCTGGCAGCTCCCTGCCTCCCCTCCCCCACTGCAGGAATGAAATTCAGCCCCACAACATGCAGGGCAGGGAGGGGAGCTGCCAGCTCTCAAGGCTTCAGCTGCTGAAGCCCTAAGAGCTAGTGGCTCCTCTCTCCCCCTGAATCCTGCTGCAGGGAAAATACAGAATAACATGCCCATTTTTTTTAAAAAAAAAACTGTCACACCAAGAGGAAGACTTAAATACGACTGTCAGTAAAAACGTGCCCATTTAAAAAAAAAAAACTGTCACACCAGGAGGAAGACTTAAATACGACTGTCAGTAAAAACAGGATGGATGGTCATCCTAATGTTGTCAGGCTGTTGAAAAAGAGCATAAAACAAAGTAAAAAGCCCATGGAATGATGGAACAGAAAAACTTGCATCACATTTCCATGATGCACTGCGACCTTTTTCCAGAACTCCCAGCAGATGAGAACAGAGGGTGGAAAGTTGCACAGTGGAAAGCTACCCATAATGCAACACTGTCAATGCTAGAGTAATGACTGTTGTTGCACTCTGCTGACACAAGGAGCATTGTGTGGACGTACTCAACCAAAGGTATTGAAGTGTCTTATGATTGTCAGTATAACTTAAGTTGACTTAACTCTGTAATGTAGACATGGCCTCAAACTAATAAGTGAATAAAGAGCGTATGTGAATGAAAAATTAAAGAGTTGTGTTCATAACCTGTCTCAGACTGCCATTTTTGCATGCATCCATTATAATCTGTATCTAAGCTGTAGGTAAAAAACCTAAATGAGTACTTCTAGAACAGGGTGGGCAATAATTTTTTATTGGAGCTACTCCAAGATTTTGGAAGGTGGTCAAGGGCCACACTCTTCCATGATATTAATGGAGGAGGTGCGGGGTCTTGGATGGAGGTTTGGGGCAGAAGGGAGTTTAGGGCATGGGAATGAAGTGCAGAAGGAAGTGTAGGTTTGTGACTAGGGAGGGATTGGGGTACTGGAGGAGGTGCAGAGGTTTGGGTTATGATCTTGGGCAGGAGCGGGTTGTGACCTGGAGCAGGGAACAGGATCAGGGAGAGGATGCAGGGGCTTGGTTTGTTACCTAGAGCAGGAGGGGATTGTGACCTCAGGCTAGGGGTTGGGGAATAGGTGTGGGGTTGTGACTAGAGCAGCAGGGGTTTGACACCTGGGACAGGGGATTGGTATGTAGGATCTGGGAGGATGTATGGGTTCAGGAGTGGGGGCAGAAGGTTTGGGTTATGGGGGGTAGAAAAGGGCTGAGGTGCCAGAGGCAGGCTCTGGAGACTTACCTGGGTGACTGCCAGCCAGCAGTCCAACATTTCTCAGACAGCCTCTCTGCCTGCCCCACCCTGCACAGACTACAGGGGCCATGTGCGTCTGTGAGTAACTATGAGCCTGAGGAGAGGAGGGAGTGATGATTTGTGTGCTATCTATTCTTCTAACAGGTAGCTACCAATGGCCATAAGCCAGCCAATGCGTTTGTGCGGGAGGTGGGGGCAGACTGGGAAGCCTCTCCCTCCTCATCACTGGGCTCACAGTTGTTGAAAAACAAACAGCCCAGCATCCACTTTTCTGAATGACATGTAGGGAAGCAGGGCAGGCAGGCAGCATGCCTGAGGCTCCCTGCTGTGTCCATGGATGGAATCCAGTAGTTTGGTGGGCCGAATTCAGCCCGTGGGCTGTATTTTGTCCAGCCCTGTCCTAGGAGCAGAGCCCCCCCCCACTCCTCCTGCAACAATGCTCTAAAATAACTGTTTAAAGAAAAGTTGTAATGTTTTTCTGCATATGTGCAACAAACAACACTATGCAATGTTGCCTATTTACAATTTACATTATTGAAAATGTAATTGCATCAAGAAAGAAAAATGTACATACGAAATTCTGTTGACAATGGCATCTTCATCCTCCTGCTCATCTGAAAAATAATTTAGCAGATTTAATTTTTACAGTTACCTATATATTAAAAGGGAGAGTAAGCTATGAAAATGAGAAACTAAATCTTAGATCAAAAATTGTGTGTTAAATCCAAATGCATTATTTTTTTATTCTGCAGTAAACATACATTTTGTAAATTAATGTTACCCATTTCCAGTAGTTTTCTTAAAAGAAAGTTTTTCTTGATAAAAAGAACCGAAGCTTTCTCTGCATATTCACACTTCCTTTGTCTAGATTGCTGGTTTCTGAATCTCTTCAATCTCAAAACAATTAAAGGGCATTATTTTGCTCAAAACTAAGGATTACCTCTTTGATGGCCTCTTAAGACAAGACGATAGTGAATTTGCAGAATAGCCATGCCAGGAAAGTTCCTTTCTACTCACTACTCTTCCTTAAAATTACAAAGAGCATTCAAACAAGTTGAGGGGAAAATGGGTTTAAACACCTCATAAGAATACAAGCTAAAAATATACAAGAAACACTTGGTACTAGAAAAACAGTTGAGAATTTTATATGCAGTTAAAAATATACATGCATGTACAAAAAAGAAAAAAATACATCAGAAGAATAGTAATAACCCGCCCTTGACAACCAGAAGCGATATCATCATCTCTCACCTAGTCTTAATTCCTCCATGAACTAATGGCTTTCTCTTTTGGTATTTTAGAGAATTTTCCTCCTCGATCTCTTAACCCTTCATAAATAGGAAGAGTGCCTACCTCCCAGCTTGGAATCTTTACTTTTTTCTTGCTCTTCTCTATAATCGTATGGACAGCCACATCTCCACAATCTCCCTCCCCCTCCCCCATTTTATGATGTGGACTCCTAAAATGAAAATCCGCTTTCAAGCCACTTTTATTCCTATCACGTTTAAGTTTTCCATGCTGCCCATCACCATGCACTGTCAGCTATTTTCCAGATAAAAGAATGCATAAAACCTGTTGCCATATATTTCCAAATTTGGATATGTCCAGTAAGAAGCTTGCTTCATACTCCTGCAAAAAAAATATTCTATGCAAGTTGGGCAATCACTAAATTAGGGCCTACTCTCCCAAGATTAAATAATAGTTATTTAGATTTACAAGAAAGCCATAAACCAGCTCTCTGGTAGAACAGCTTGTGGTAGAAGTGGCAAATTACTGAAGGAAAAGTTAGAGAGAAGAATTTACGGAGATGAAACTATTTCAACTATCAGCTCACCATGCAACTGTTAACTTTAGAGTTTCCAGTTTTGATTGCTTGTCCAAGCAACTTTAGTTTTCTATTCATGTGTATTTTCCTATGGTATTAATATAAAAATTCAGCTTGTAAACTTTTGGTAGGTTCTTTTGATTGCTATAGGAGAGTGGTTTAAGAGTCCTTTGTGCAATGGTAGAGATACTAAGCAGTGACTTCTACTTGCATGTAAATTAGTAGACAATTAAGTGTTTACATTATATAGCATATTAGTCAATTTCAACCAAAAACCAGATAGCAAACTGTCTTCTATGGGGCGCCTCTTAATGAAAGAGCACATGACAGAAAAATATGTGCAAAGTTATTGGGCTCTATTTTATGTTTTTGCAGCACATGAAAAATTCGTTTGTTTATTCAGCTAAATGTATCCAGCCAGTATGTTTTCACTGTCCTTAAAAGCAGTCAATCAACTCACAAGTGCACCAGATAGTGGTTTCTGATTGACTAAATTAGGCAGAAAAGGAGGAAAAATCCATCTGAAAGCCCTTTTTGAGCTTTCACTACACCCACTTTGAGAGGTACATGGTAGCTTGTAAAAACAGTGAAGGAAAGAAATTACTACACTGGAAGGACTTTAATATGAAAAAGATCTACAGGAATCCTAGTGAAGAGATTCAGCCAGAGTCAAAGCCATCTTCCAACAGTCAAGCTGCCCATTAGCCAGATCTAGCAAGTGTTGCAATCACAAAATCCTTGCAAGAAAACCCTGCTATTAAGAAAGAACAATGCCTGGTACACGTACACACAATACACAAATTTTTCTCAACTGCCTTTGAGACAGGAGAAACAGTGAATGGGATGTTTCAACCACGAGTTGGTCCAACATAGAACATAACACTAGTGAATGGATATCTTGGTCCAGGAATTTATCAGTGGCACTTGACATACCTCAATTAAAATAAATGCAGCTTACATCTCAAAGAATATTCATTCTGAATCAAGCACTATAACAGATCTTGAAGCATGGTCCGAGTCTACTATTGCTGCCCTTGAGTGAGCCAAAACAAGCAAATGGACAACTTGGACAAGTCTAAAAGCATATAATGCCACCACATCTCCCAGATTTGTCTTCCAGCATGCAATCTGTGTGGAAACTGAGCCAGAGATTTTGATACAAAGCTGCTGGAAATTGAGACTTAAAACTGATGAGTGACTCCTTCAACACTCCCTGCTACCATTCCAACTCTCCTAGTGAGGTGGTAAGAATTCATATGATGAATTAGGAGTTCAATAACTTTAAATTTAATTCATCAAAGCCGAAAGTTTGATACTTAACTAGTCAGTAGCTTTGTGATACCAGTAAAATTGCCCTACAGGGCATTACAGAAAACTGGGTCTGTTTACACTGCACCCGTAACTCGAAATAAGCTATGCAATTTGACCTACGCAAATTGCAACGCTTATTTCAAGCGTATTTCAAAATAAATCACTATTCCGAAACATCCCTTAATCATTGAGGAACAAGGTTTACAGGGACGTTGGAATAGTGAGCCCATTATTTCAAAATAACAGTCTTGTTTAAGAGATGCAGAATAGCTATTTTGGGATTCCAGAAGTATCCCAAAACAGCATCGCAGTCTTGACATACCCCTATAAAATAGCAGCCTGACATTCAAGAGAAGTATCTGATTCAGAGTTTTTTCCTAAGGTCTTTTATACTTTGAAGCATCCCAGGCTGAATGCTGCCCAGTCTTGTTTCAGGCCAATTCCACAAGCCAAATACACAGAGAAGGGTTGGAACTTAACTTCACTTACAAGTTTAATTATGTAGATGGAATGAACAGGGACATCAGATGGCTCACACACTACCTTAACATCCTAGTGACTTAACCAAACAACCAAACAGTGGAAGTGCTAATTGTTCTTATCAGCCTCTTATAACTACTTGAACCATCTACTCACTGCCTTTTTTTTTTTTTCTCCTCTCCCCTTTTTTCTCTGCTCCTTCCCTTATTTATTCTTGGATCTGGACTTCTAATACTCCAGTCATGTGAAGAAGTGGGTTGTGCCCACGAAAGCTCATGGTACCATCTACATGTTTTGTTAATCCTTAAGATGCTACTAGACTATTCGCTGTTTAAGTTTTTCCTGTTACAGACTTAACTCAGCTACTTCTCTGAAGCTTTGGGTATGTCTAGACTACAGGCTTTTGTCGACAGAAGTTTTGTCGATGGTATCTGTCAACAAAACTTCTGTCGACAAAGAGCGTCTAGACACATTCAGTTCTGTCGACAAAGCAAGCTGCTTTGTCGACAAAACCCTGTAGTCTACACACAACCCTACATGCAATAACACCTACTGTCGACAAGGTGTTATGCCTCGTAAAATGAGGTTTACCAGCGTCGACAAAACTGCTGAGTTCTGTCGACGTATTGTTTCTATCAACTTTATTGTATTTGAGTGTGTGAGACTTTGCTAAATTAATAAATTACTTATTTGTAAATATAGACAAGTTCCTATTGTACATAGGGGCAACACTCAGACATCAGGGTTCCCAACTATATAATTTTAATAAAACTGGGCATGATCTTGGTACAAATACCTGTCCTTTTTGTCACCTCACAATTTTGGTCAAGTGACATTTAAAAATAATATACTTCGTGAACAAGAGGACTTGACTGGGCACCACTGCTCTACAGCAATGCTCGTGGGGATGGGGGAGGAGAGTTATACCCCACTCATTTTTAAATGGAAATAAAAATAAACATTTGAATATTAAAAACTAGTTACCTGCTTTCCTTTTGTATCTTGTGATTACGAAATAGGAAAGAATGTAGAGAACAGCAAATAGGAGAAAACAGATCTGAAAAAAAAGGTTCAATAAATGTAATGAGAAGTCTGGAGTAGAATATGTATCTATAAGGTAAGCAAAACTGAAATTAAATTCTGATTAAACAACAAATAAGGCTTAAGACTGTGTTTTTCCATATGCTTTAGAGTTCAATAAATAAATGCAATTCAGCAGACTTTGCTGACTATATTAATTTGTTACACTTTCCAACAAATGCTGATTAGATTCCAAATACAGGTTGGACTTGACTGGTCCTTGATGAGGGGTTTTGCTAGACCAGGAGGAGGTCATTTCTGGACTAGCCTCAACCCATGCCCTTCCCCGTCCCACCCCTGGGCGTCACGATCCCCCACCACCACCTCACAGCCCAGCTGAGCCACAGCCCTCCCACCCCAGCTGAGATGTGCACCAGGCTTCCTGGCTCACAGCCCCCCTTCCCCGCCAGCCCAGCTGAGCCATGCACACCAGCTCCTGCCCCACCTCACAGGCCAGTTGAGCCACATGCCAGGCCTCCTGCCTCCATTCCCACAGCCCAGTTGAGCCACTCCCTACATACCACACTAGAGCTCCCAGGACCCCCACCCCCTACAGCACACCAAGACTCTCTGATCCTGGAACACAGATGTTACTGGACCAGAGAGTTGCGGTTTGTAGAGATTCAACATGTAAATTCAACTACTACATTCAAATATTTAAAGGGTTAGTGCATCAATTTATTCCCAAAAATCCAACTTTAATGCAAGGAGTACTAGCCAGCCTCTCTTCCCCAATCCCTAACTCCGCTCCAATCCTACCCGTAGCCCTGGCTGGTACATGTTTTGGGAAAAGTAAAATATATAAGCATGATTATCTTGGTTAAAAATTAGTGGCAGGTTCCTTTAAACAATTATATAGCAATACTTAGTAATCCTTGGTCAAATTACAAGGAATGCTTGGGGATTATATTATCAAAACTCAAAGATATAGGTTTTACTGTAAAGATATTTGAATGTAAAATAGGAGCAGTCAAGGTTCTTTATTTGGGACATTTGGTAGGGAGATACCATATCTTGCCTGATACCTTAAAATAGAAATTTTTATTACAGAAGAGTCTCAATTTTCTGACATCATTCATTTTATCCTACATGCCATCCGTCACGTGATGGCAAGGGGCTCCAGGGACGCTTCACACCATAATAGCCTTTCTTTCCCTTTTTCTTTTTCCAGGGCTGGGCAGGAACTCTGGTTGGCAGGTCTGCAGCACCCTCTTGTGGCTGAAGAATTCACCATTGGCAAACTCGCTTTTTTCCTGTTTCTGGGGAAAGCGGAGAGCACCCTGCATCACGGCTAAGGCAATCCAAATATAGCCATGGAAAATCATGGTCAGGGGACGTGGAGTGGTGCAGGGCAAGGGCTATGCTCCCGCCACAAGGCGGAGCCCCAAATCTTACTCCCGTTTGTGGAGTAATACAAGTGCTGGTCAAGGCAGCAGATTTAGGAGGTTTAGAACTGGACCCTGCAAGGTATTACAAAGGGCAACATTTATAAAATTAAAAGAATTCTGTATTATTCAACATTTCCTCTATCCGACCATCCTCCTGTCCCGTTTAGATCAGATAATCGAGACTCTACTATATTATTGTTATTTTGGCCACATTCCAGACCTAGAGACAGATTCAGTCTTTCATGGTTGTTTGTTACTGCCTATTTGTGCATGGTGTCAGGGACACAGTGTCGTCACAAACTTGTACATAAAGCCAAACAAAACTGTTTGTACAAAGGCTTGTCAAGAGGATTTTGCTACAGTAAAGATTTTTTTTTCCAGAAAAGCCTGTTCTTGCCAATCCAGATTTTGACAAAATATTTGCACTACATACTGATGCTATGAGTAGGTGTGATATTAATGCAGTCATGGGAAAATAAGAATGCAATGAGGTATTTTTTGTTATGTAAAACTGATACCCACCAAACAGAATTACTACGTCATAGAAAAAGTGTATTATGCCATTGTAAGGACAATTAAGACCCAGTCCCTTTAACACATGATTCAGGATTCTAATTGACCAGTGTCCATTAGTTTGATTACACAGAACCAGACACCCCAATTCCAAACTTCTGTGATGGAGCAGGATGGTCCAAAACTAGGATATGGAAATTGAATATTAAGGGGAAGGAAAAAATAGTAGCAGATGCTCTGTACAGAGAAAAGGGTGCTGATTCAATGCCTATCAATCAGCCAGCATCTGACCCTAGTGTGTCATTGTAAAGAGTAAGGTACAATCCTTAGAAGCTCCCTGCCCCGGCCCAGTTCCAACTAGCACTTAGGGACTCTTAAGGTCACAATTAGTTCTTATGGATCAGTGTTCTAATAGACAAAGAACAAGATAAGGATATTAGTTGGTGTCTGCTACAGACCAACAAATCACACAAGAAATGTATGGGGGGGTGGGGAACACAGTAGGTAAGTATGACTGATTCTGTGCATGTACGCTGCATTATCCTTAGAGACTTTATTTGGGGCAATACATACTGGAGGGTTCATGCCACCAGTACTAAAATGCCCTTGGAAATATTTAAAAAAAATCACAAATAATTTCCTACCTCAAAGAGTTGAATCCTACTTGGGAAATTCTGTGTTAGACCTCATGTTGAAAGAAAACGAGAAACTGATCACAGAACTAAAAATTATTCCTTGTGTAAGCGTTAGTGATCATCACTTGATTATTTGTTTTCACATAACGCCGAGCCAAAATATAAAGTCCAAATCAAACATGATGCCTTAAAAGGACCAAATTTCACAAAGAAAAGAACAGTTGATCAAAACTAGCTCAGAGACAGCTTAAACACAGAATGGTCATTACAGCCTTCAAGATTTTAGAACTACAGTCAGTCCCCGGGTTACGTGGATCCAACTTATGTCGGATCCCTACTTAAGAACAGGGTGAGGGAACCCCGAACTAGCTGTGCCCCCTCCCCCCCCCAGCCCACCG